CGTAGTATCGCATGGCTTGGAAACCGGAGAAGAAATGCCGAGATTAAACACAGAGTTTTGGATGAGCGCAAACACCCACTGGGACAAGTGCTCGATCTCCTTAGATGGTCAGGCCGTGTGTTGCGCATGACGTCAAATCGATTACAACGTTGTGCGTTGTTTGCCGAGACAGACAACAGATGAGAAAAGGTTAAGGGCAGTAAAAGTAAGATTTGCTTTGAGAGTAGGAAAAAACGAACCAAGAAGTTTGCTCACATAGGTCACTTTAAGCTCCCTGAATGGGGATGATCGTAACCAATAGTTAAAGACACTGAGTGATATGACTGAGTGTCGTAAACAATGGCGTTCATGCATCTCAGTTTCCTTGCAGCCTTGGTCCACTGAAATTCACCATTTTCTCTTCTGCTGTACTTTCAACTTTCCTCTCTTACTGCAACGGCGAAATTCACTGATCGCTGCCAAACTCATAGTTCATACAAGATAAGTGAGAAAGTGTAAGGCGAATAGGAGCAGAGCCTATTTTTAGGGATGGGAAAAGAAAGCGAACCTCTATGGTCAAAACCCAGAGAGCACAGTCCAAATGTGCGTACATACTGTTTCAAGCATTCTGGTCTGATAAGAAGTGATAGTAGGAAAAGAAGTGACACTCGATCGTCCTCCAGCTAATGAACTGTTAGTTGAGTACATAATTAGCTTTTGTCCAATCATAGATTTCAGAGTTTTGTTTGACTCATCACCCAGTCTTATGGACTGAGTTTAACTAGTTTTGCCAGAAAAACTTCGAGACATATGGACGCGAATCAAAAGCAAACACAGATAAAAGAATAGCGTGCTCCAACTTCTTGTCTGTTGATTAACTGGTTGGCCAAGAGTTTTTGTAAACTGAGACGGAAGCGTCAGAGAAAATCTTGGGTTCAGACATTTTCACTATTCATCTTGATGTCAATAACATACCTCACCCTTCCCGTATAGTGGTACAATTATTTTGAACTCAGCCGAAGCAACTGATGATTCCACTCTAATTCGCTTTTGGCTGTTCATTTTCCGAACGGGAAACATGAACATGCACTCACAATTTTGTATCCGCGTACAACATGCCCATGCCTGTGTTCATTTACGCATACAGAATGTGTTAACCAGTTGTTCACCGTGTTCACCCATATCCAAATGCAGACCGTGCGATTTCGCTCGTCTTCGGGTCTGTGATCTGGAGCTAGCTGGACTGACTGAGGTTGAGATCAACCGATTGGTCTGTCGATTGCTAGATCTCGGACTGCCGACCGGGAACTTACTACCCGCATCAGATAATCCGAACGCAAGTCCGCCGGTATGCGGGGCGTTCGATCGGATGCCGCTTAGCAATCCGCATCGATCGAAACCTCTGCGTAAAGTAAGTGTATGCGTTTTTTCGTCTTCTGAATCCTGTCAAGTGCATTTTGTTCACTTTGTTGTTCTCATTAGTGATATCACTTGTTTCATTTTACTGCTGATGACCATACAGCTGTGGTTAGTAGCTGAATACTGAAATTAATACTTATTCAATGAATATATATTTATATCACCGGCTTGCGAACGAGAATGGTACCAACGCAACAGCAATAACAGACGTCGGATGGGTTGGGAAACAAGGCACAGTGAAATGGGGGTCAAACGGTTACAATGGATAACTAGAACAAAACTTTTTATTTCACCGTACACATTTTGATCTATTTTTGACGTTGGTTTACTGTTTTTTTTATGGGTCGCGGTATTTCAATAGACAGACCGCCCGGCATTCGTGCCACTGACTTCTTTTCTGGGCCATATCTCTCAGCGTCTCTAACCAACGACAATCCTCATCCCTTGGGTCTCAATCTGGAAAGTGGGCTGCACCAACTGAAGCCAATGCTTATGCTAACTTCTGCAGACCATTACGCTAAGTCGTGGTTTCACCTCTGCAGCGCTACTTCCAGCCTTGCGCAGCATGTGAAAAGAGAGCATGGTGAGATAGACGATGGGCAGGCATACACAAAAAAATGACCAAACCATCGGAGAAGGTGTAGAGCGATCAATTCCTTTGGAGAGCGACTCTCTGCGTCCAACAGGACGACGAATTTCGCAATTGCTCACCTGATGTTCCCACTAGATATGAGCAATGCTTCGGAGACATCGGCGGTCGATTACAGGAAGTCGATTAATATAATCAACACGGAGGAGCCAACCGTAAATCAGAACCGTTGCAGTGTACACCCTTCCCTTAAGGGACAGTCGGATGTCATGTCGGCTCCGTAGGTGTCATAGTTAGACAAAAGCTGCTATAGCTTTCGCTATTCCTGATGCGATCTCCAACACAACCCCCGGCTGCGATAAAGCTCCCGAGGTATTTAAAGCTCTCAACCACTTCGAGGTAATCGTCACAGAAGGTACTTACTTACTTTAATTTACTACGGCTGGCTCCTTGAAAAGGATAAGCCGGCTTCATGAATGTCTCTGATGGCCG